AGGCCATAAGTCTAAAATCAGTTTCACTGAGCCAAAATCAAGGTGTAAGGCAGAGCTGCATTCCCTCTACAAGCTCTAAGAGACAGTATTTTATTTTCTTTATTTTTTTAAAGATTTTTATTTATTTGATGAACAGAGATCACAAGTAGGCAGAGAGGGAGGCAGAAGAGAGAGGTGAAAGCAGGCTCCCCACGGAGCAGAGAGCCTAATGTGGGGCTCGATCCCAGGATCCTGGGATCATGACCTGAGCTGAAGGCAGAGGCTTTAACCCACTGAGCCACCCAGGTGCCCCTAGAAGACAGTATTTTAATTGGCTCTTCTAGCTTCTGGTAACTGCCAGCATTCCAAGTCTTCTGATCAGTTCATTCTAATCTCTGCCTCTTCCATATTACACTCTCCTCTTCTATGTATCAAATCTCTGTTTGTCTCTCTTATAAAAAACATTTGTGATTGGATTTAGAGTCTACCCAGATAATCTAGGATAATCCCCTGTCAAGATCCTTAATTTAATCACATCTGCAAAGACCTTTTTTTTTTTTTGTAAGGTAATATTTACAGGTTCCAGGGAGGAATTAGCCTAATATAATTACTCCTATAGATTTTGGACATGTCTTTTTAAATTTATGATTAGATATTTTCTTTCATTATTTGTTATCAAAATAGCATCTTCTTTCTCACCTTTTAACTGGTTTACATTGGTGTAGTGATTTCTGCATGTTGATTTCATAATTTGCTACTTTTCTAAATTATCTTACTCCTTGCAGTATCTTTTCAAAGGAACTCTTTTGTGTTGTCTAGATGTCTAATTATATCATCTACATATAAACATAGTTTAACCTTTTCCTTCCCAATTCTCATGCTTCTAGTTACTTTCCATTGTCTAATTACATTGACTAATACCTCCAACATGATGTTAAATAGTAATGGAGATATTATTATCCTGATCTTATTTCTGTCTTTAGCAGAAACCTTCTAGTGTTCTTTACAGATAGGATCCAAGGCATATTTTTAATTTTTTTTTTTTAGGGATTTAACTTTATATTTTAAGATGAGAAATGTCATCAATTATCTTTATAGAGCTTTTATTTATTTTTCTTTATAGGGCTTTTATTTATTTTTTAAAAGATTTTATTTATTTATTTGATAGAGATAGTAGGCAGAGTAGGCAGGCTGGGGTGGGGGAGCAGGCCCCCTGCCGGGTAGAGAGCCCCTTGCAGGCTGGATCTCAGGACCCTGAGACCATGAATGGAGCCGAAGGCAGGGGCTTTGTAGGCTTTAACCCATTGAGCCACCCAGGGGCCTATTTATAGGGCTTTTAAAGCATTTTTCAAGTATCTAATTTATTTGGTTCTATGAAATAAAAGGACAAATATCTAAGATACAAAGTATCTTAATTTTATAGTTAAGTAAATGTTGAGAAAAATTAAGTAATTGTCTAAGGTCTTTATGCTTGGAAAGTGGTACAAGCAGGACCAGAGTTAAAAAAAAATTCACTGCTCTAGGCTGCATACTCATTTTACTTAATATTTTCCTCCAGGATTCGGGACAATGTGTTAGATGCCTATGAGAATATGTAAATACGTTATTTTCCTTTTTAAAATGTGAGTTTTTAATTGTTTACTATATTGAGTGATTGGGTATGTGTGCTTGTGTGTTTTTAGGGAGTAAAATATTATATATAGATAAGTGTAAAGTCCCCTTTAAAGACCTGACTTTAGTCCCATTTCCTTTCCTCAGAGGCAACGTAGTATAAACTGACAGTTGTTTTTTTTTTCTGTTTTTGTAATGCAAGTGCCAGACTTAAGCTTTGATTGTAGAGGCATCCATTTCAAAGAGCCAATCCATTTCAAAGTCTGCTATCTTAAATATGCACATTGCCAGCCAAAAACCTAGATAAAGAGCCAGGCCACCTCCCTCTACTGAGGCTCCTTTGTTTTGGAGATCTTAATTGATTTTGAGAACTGTCCTTTTGGGCCAGTTGTTTTTCCTCTTCCTGAGCTTCAAATTCATGCTCTTATGTTTTAAATTCATTAATAATGAGTGAACCCTAGAGCCCAGACATTTGACCCCAATACAAGGAGAACCCCTGGCCCATTTGCACTCTAAGCACCCCCTACCCTCCAACTACCTTCTCTTTGGCACTGTCTCTAGCTCCCTCGCTTTCCTGGGCTCCCGCTCACTCTCATTTCCCTCTCTCTGTTTTCCTCTCTCCATCCCCCTCCACCTCCCGCTGTGTGGCCCCAAGTGTGCTATGTAATTTCCAGTTCTAAACCTTTATTTTGTCAAAGTTTCGTGATGGTTGTTGCTGAAGGATGCCTTGCAATCATATTAAGAACCACAAGGGCCAGTCCAGTCATATAACACTGATTTGGAAAGGGGAAATGTCAATGGGTAGCTCACTCCAGGGCCCAAGTGAACACTACCAGGCATTTCTAGTCTGCAGCCTTACTGTGGATAGGCTGAGACTGGCACAAAACAGGCAACGACACACAAGAGTTAGGTATGTTAGCTTGCTAGTCCATTTTTTATAAAATCCACAATTCACAGACAAAATGCATGATATGGGGTCAGCGATTTTAAGAAAATTATCAGAGGGATAATATCAAAATCTACCTCCCTTTTTTCACCTATCTTCGTCATATGGATCTTGAAGTAAGCAAAGCTTTTCAAAACATTACATAAAATGCAGAATCTGCCTTTAGATTCTAGATCTCCAGACAAATCTTGTATTGATGGGTCCGTGATCAAAGCAGCGAGACTGATACAAAGCAAAGGTCAAGCAAAGCTTTATTTCGCGCCAAGCATCGAGAATCAAACCAACCGTTGGGGGCTGCCTCTTACAGAGAGGGTGACCCCTCCCAGCCTCACGGACTAACTTTTATAGAGCAAAGGCCATGTGGTTGAGCCTGGCCACACACGGGTGGCCAATGAGATTGCAACACACAGAGAAAGCTGCACAGTCATGCTCGGTCACACACGGGTGGCCAATTGAATTACAATTCACCCCATAGTAGCTATTTGAACTAGCCTATCACCTTGGTCAGAATTGGCGCCCAAAATGTGGGGCCCACACTCCTTGGTAGCTAGGGAGACAGTATGCTCACTCTACTGATTGGATATCTCCACCTGGCCCGACTCACCCCTGCATCTGGGCTCTGTTATCTCCACCTGACCTGACCCGCCCTTGTATTTGGGCTCTGTTACCTGGGACTGGTCGACCATATTTTACTAGTTTCCCGGACTTGCTTTTAAGTAAGTCCCCCCCGGGGGGTGGGGGGTGGAGCGGGCGGGGTCAGTTTAAGTTTTACTACATAAACAACAAAATGGCTGTTCAACCAAGATGGAGCCGCTCTGGCTAAATAGGCCCTTACAGTATCTTTCGCTGATCATTTTGCCTTACTAAACTCTTCTCATTAAGAAATTTTTTTTAAATTTAGGGGCGTCTGTGTGGCTCAGTTATTAAGTGTCTGCTTTTGACTCAGGTCATGATCCCAGGGTCCCGGGATGAGCCCTGCATCAGGCTCCCTGCTCAGTGGGAGGCCTGTTTCTCCCTCTCCCCCTCTCCCTGCTTGTGTTCCCTCTCTGCTCTCTCTCTGTCAAATAAATAAGATCTTTTTTAAAAAAAAAGAAAGAAATTTTTAAAATTTAGAAATATACTTTCAGTTTTGATTAAATCTCCATCAGGTATTTCTAAGTTGTAAGAAGAGTTAAGAAAGAGAGGAAAAACATGTAAATAAAGCTTTTTTTTTTTTTTTTTTGTTACCGTTTTGTGCTTGTGAAAGTGCTGAATAGAAGTACCTGCTGAACAGAAGGTTTGGTATTTCATTTGGCCTGCAGAGGGAGGATTTAGGTAGGAGGTATGCATTAGAGTTTGGTAAAAAGTGACTTACTCTCTTGAATTAAGTCAATTTATATCCTTGATAGTGGCAAAATCATTTCAAAATGACATGTAGTGGGCGCCTGGGTGGCTCAGTGGGTTAAGCCTCTGCCTTCAGCTCAGGTCATGATCTCAAGGTCTTGGGATCGAGCCCCGCATCGGGCTCTCTGTTCAGCAGGGAGCCTGCTTCACCTCCTATCTCTGCCTGCCTCTCTGCCTACTTGTGATCTCTGTCTGTGTCAAATAAATAAATAAAATCTTTTTAAAAAAAAATAATGATAATATCACCCTTTTACACCAAAGATGTCTCAAGAGTTCTTTCTTGACCGTTTGCTCTAAACCTTAACATTTCCACATCAGAAATGACCCACAGGTGTAGTTAGATCTTTGCTGGGTTGAAGGCAGTGGTATACTGTAAACGTTCAACAACTGGCTCTTTGGAGAGACTGGTAAGCTGAGATTTACAGCATTTGCCCATCACAGTTGATTTCAGACTATGTATTTGGTGTTACTAAGCAGGGACATAGAAAGAGATACAGAGTGGTACACCATTACAAAAGCATTTCTACCATACAGCTACCCTAGATGTAAATAACAAGACCATAGATAATAGTAAAATGACATAAAATAATAAGAAGTGATAAATTTTGAATACTTACTACCTTTATTTCGAATACAATTTATTTAATTGCAAATTAAAATAATTTTTAATAATGTCTGTGTTTAACATTTGGTTCACAGCATTCCTAAAGATTGAATAATTGATTCTGGTGAGGCAGTAGGAACCAATTCCAGTACACTGCTGTGGGGGACGAAATGATCAGGATTTTGGTTTAATTAGCTACCTACTGAATCATATGGGAGAGTAAAAGCAAAAAATTATAAAGAATTGTGTTGATATGCAAACTTTGTACTAATCTTGTTCATGTGTTTTGTTAAGAATCTGAAAATATATATATGTTTTATTTAAGTGAAAATCAACCAAGTCAAAGGTGCTTTATTTCTTGGTTCTTTCAACTTTTAAGTGATAACATCTGAAGTAAATTTAGGTCAGTAGATTCTGTCGATATGTCATATATAATGTTAAGTGTTACTTATTGTTTGATTTTTTTTTTCCTTTAAGGCATAACCGTGACACCTGACGAAGAACAAAACTTAAATCATTATGTAGAAGTTTTACAGAACCTAATACTAAGTGTTCCTACTAGGGAGCCAGGTCGTGAGAAAAAATCAAAGTCTCCAAATAATGTTCATTCTAGAGGACGGAAGCTATCAAGATTAAAGGAGATAATCACACATGGAGACGTTTCAACTGAAAATGATGTTTTAATCAATCCTCTTGGTGAAGAAACCACAGCTTCCCCTACTGGAGGCTTCACACTGGAAGTGCAGAAGAAAAAACCTACTGAAAGCACAGCATTCTGGTCGATTAAACCAAATAATGTTTCTATTGTTTTACACACAGATGAACCTTATATTGTAAAAGAGCCAGAGCCAGAGCCAGAACCAGAATTATCACAAACAAGGCCATGGCTAAACTTTACTGAGACATCCCCAAGCCCAGAGGTCACCTCAGGCCAACTGTCTATCACTTCTTTAAGTAGAAGCACTGACATGAATACCGTCACAGAGCTAGAAGATGTTCCTCAGCTCTCAGGCGAATATGGAATGGGAACACCTGACACAGTAACATTTGAAAAACACCCACAGATTCTGAATAATGAAGACATTTTGAAAAAAATTTCAGATATTCATTCACAGGTACAACGGGTACCTCTTGCTGAGAGCCTCAAGCCAGAATACAGAGAGGACATTCGAGCCTCTAGAGAGCACCTAAAACGGAGCCTTGCTTTAGCAGAAGCAGCAGAACATAAACTACAAAAGATGTATAAATCCCAGCTATTACCACTAGGACGAAGCAGTAGTGGAATTGATGACATTGAAACTGTTATTAACATGCTGTACAATTCCAGATCTAAATTAGCTGAATATTTAGATATTAGATATGTTCCACCAGAGATGAGACAAAAAGCTACTACAGTATTCAATACATTGAAAAAAATATTATGTGTAAGTCAACAAGAAACTCAAAATCTTATTAGGAAGTTATTAAACAATAATATAAAAATTTTAAACCTACTTGATGTTCCATGACAAAGTTGATTTAAGCAAACTGTGCATTCATTTCACTAGAGAATTAGTGATTCACAAGTTGTATGAGAATATTTTCTATTCAATGTGCTAACATCTTTACATGTCATGTTATAAAAAACTTTCATATGCACAAAAGCCTAATAATTTAAAATAAAATTTTGGTTCAGGAGTTTGTAGTTTTTTTCTCATTAATTAAAAGTTATGAAGATCTAACCTTTAAAATGTTTAAGCTTTGATTTTACTTGAATAGATTAGTTAAGTTCACCCATTTTATAAAAGTTAAGAGACTGTGTGCAATCTGTATGTAGCCTATTTTAAATAATTGAATATAAATGTAAAATTTTAGTATATATGGTCTTTATTACTCTTTCAGAGAATCTGAGTTTTCTGTCTGAATAGCGAAGTTGGAACTTGAATCAGCTGTTTTATTGAATATCTGTCTGCCTCCTCTAAAAGGTGGATGGTATATGGAGAGATGTTCCTGTTTCTTTGTTGTTAAATACTTTTGGAGTATCAGTGAGTTACTGTAACTTGGATTTGTAATGTAGTCATTCTCACCTAATTCCTATTTTTATCTCTTTCTATACATATACTTTGAAGCTTTGCAAATCTTTTGTTAGGAATATGACTAACATGATTAAGGTTAACTGTGTAATATTGTGCTTATGGTGCATGTAATTCTTTTTCATGATTTGACCAGTATTGTGTTTAAATTTGTTTATTCATTCATTCATCAAACCAGTCATTTATAGTTTAGTAGAGATTTATTGTCCTTTTACACTATGTGCAGAAAAAATGCTAGGCTTTGGGGATATAGTAAGACCTGTTTCTTCTCTCTATGAGACTGTATTACAGGAGGAAAGACAGACATTAAATAAATAACTTTGCTAATTTTTAAATTTCAGTTGTGACAAGTTGTTATAAAGCTGTGAGAAGCTTGACCTCACCTAGACGGAAAATAATGGGAAAGCTGTCCCGAGAAGGCAGCATTTCTGGTGGTATCTGAAGGATCAGCGTGCATGTAGGGGAAGGCGGCATTCCCAGCAGAGGGAACAGCAAGTGTGAAGCTCTGAGTTGGGAATGACTATGGCAAGTTCAAGAAGTAGCTGGAGTGTAGAAACGTAAGGCAGAACATCTCAAGATGGAGCTGGTGAGGTGCCCAGGGTTGAAATAGATCCTGCAAGGCCTTAAAATGTATATATATCGACGATGCTAGCTGTTATCCTATGATCGGTGAAAAGCGTTTGTGGATTTTAAGCAAAATATGGGAATGATCAAATTGGTGTTTAAAAAAAAAAACACTTTGGCTGCAGTTTTGGAGGCAGACAAAAGTAAAAGCATACTAGGCAAAGGCCAAATTTAGCTTGGACTAGTTCGAAAGAAGTGTTAGTTTAGAGGTAGAATCAACAGTATTTGGTGATTGCTTGGACATGGAGACTGAGAGAGTAGCAGGGATTGAAGATTATTCTTCCACAATTAGCTATATCATAAAAAAGACCACATAGGTTTTGTTTCACAATAGCACTCTTTACTGTTTCCTGTGGGTTTTTTTTTTTTTTCATTTTGTGTGTGTGTTTCTTATTTTTTAAATCAATTTTACTATGGAAGATTTCAAACGTGAAAAAGTAAACAGATTAATGTAATAGATCTATGTACCTAATGTCCAGTTTCAACAATGATCTACTAATGACCTGTCTTGTTTCACCTAAACCCTCATCCTTTCCCCTCTTCCCTATTTCATGTTGAATTAAATCCCAGATACTTTTTCATTTCATTTGTAAAGATTACAGTGTGAAGCTTTTAAGTTTTTTTAAAAAACAACCCCAATATCACCACACATACAAATTTAATTATTCTTTGTCATCAAATGTCCAGTCATTGTTCAAATTTCCAGCTGTCTACTATTGAGTATGTATGAAGCAAAGATCCAAATAAAATTCACACATTGAGATTTATTGATTTGACACATAAGTCTTTTAATCTAAAGAGTTTCTTCCACCTTTTCTCCCCCTTGAAGCTTATTTATCCAAAAAATTGGTCATTTGACCTATAGTTTTACACCTATGGATTTTGCTGATTGTATCTCCATAATGCTATTTAGTATGGTTTCCTGTCCTCCATATTTTCTGTAAATTGATAGTTGGATCTGGAGAGGCTTTATCAGACTCAGGTTTATCTCATTTTTTGGTCAAGATAGTGTAGCTCATCTGGTTGTGTTTATTTTTGTATTTATAGAGCAGCCTTTGATGTTCATTACCTAGATAGATTATTGATCAGTTGTTGTAAAATGGACATATCATTCCTTTTTTTTTTTTTAAAGATTTTATTTATTTATTTGACAGATCACAAGTAGTCAGGCAAGCAGAGGGAAAGGGAAGCAGGCTCCCCGCTAAGCAGAGAGCCTGATGCGGGACTCAGTCCCAGGACCCTGAGATCATGACCTGAGCCGGAAGGCAGAGGCTTCAACCCACTGAGCCACCCAGGCGCCCCATATCATTCCTTTCTTATTAGCTGGAATGTCTATAATGAGAAACTTCCTCTCCTATTATTCAGTTCCTAGGGGTCCAGTGTGTCCTGGAAAAACATAAAATTTTACTCTTTTTAACAATTTTCAAAATAATTAGTTCGATTATCCACACATTACATACACAAACTTTTATATTTGGCCAATCTGTTAGATGAAAAGTATTATCTAGTTGTTGTAATGTATATTTCTTTAATTATGAGTGAGGTTGGACAGCTTTTTTTTTTTTAGATTCTTTTTTAATTTATTTATTTGACAAATGGAGATCACAAGTAGGCAGAGAGGCAGGCAGAGAGAGAGGAAGGGAAGCAGGCTCCCCGCTGAGCAGAGAGCCCGATGCGGAGCTCGATCCCAGGACCCTGGGATCATGACCTGAGCTGAAGGCAGAGGCTTTAACCCACTGAGCCACCCAGGCGCCCTGGACATCTTTTTATATTTATATTTTTATTTCTGGAAATGGCTTCTTCATGTTTATTTCTCTACTGGTTGCTTTTCCTGGGTGATACATACAGCCTTTTAATGTAACAAGGAAATTGGAATTTTGTGTCATATTTTTACAAATATTTTGTCTAGTTTTAATTATTTGTATTTTGATTTTTCCATGTAGAAATCAAAAACCTTTATAAATCAAATTTATACTTTTTTTTCTTTGGGTGCCTTTGTGTTTTATGTCTGACCTTTCTCTGAGATTTTACAAAATTCCTCTTTTTTATTCTAGTGCTTTAATGGTTTTACCTTTTTAAAGATAAACTTTATTTTTTAGAGCAGTTTTAGACAAAATTAAGGAGAAAGGTGCAGTTTCCATATATACCCACATATGTATGGCCTCCCCCACTATCAATTTCCCCCACCAAAATAGTACATTTGTTAAAATCAATAAATTTTCATTGATGTATCATTATGACCTCCAAGTCCATAGTTTACATTAGGATTCACTCTTGGTGGCATACATTCTGTAGGTTTGGACAAGTGTACGATGATAGTTTTTCACTATTAAAGTATCATAAAGAGTAGTAGTTTCATTGCCCTAAAAGTCCTCTGTGCTCTGCCTACTCTTTCCTCCCTCCCCTCAATCTCTGGCAACCACTGGTCTTTTTACTGTCTCCATAGTTTTGTCTTTTCCTAGAATGTCATATAGTTTGAATCATATAGTATGAAGCTTTTCCAGGTTGGCTTCTCTCACTTAATCTCATTTAAGTTTCCTCTGTGTCTTTTTATGACTTTATAGCTTATTTAATTTTAGCTCTGAATAATGTCTGTTTATTTATATTCACCAATAAAGGACATTTTGGTTGCTTCCAAGTTTTGGCAATTATGAATAAAGCTGCTATAACATTTATGTGCAGGTGTCTGTATGGACATCAGTTTTCAATTCCTTGGGGTAAATACCAAGGAGCCCAGTTGCTGGGTTGTACAGTAAGAGTATTTTTAGTTCTGTAGAAGCCATTAAACTATCTTCCAAAGTGTGCCATTTTGCATTCCCACCAGCAATGAATGAGAGTTCTGTTCCTCCACATCCTCACCCAGCACTTGGTGGTGTCAGTGTTCTGGATTTTTACCATTCTAATAGGTGTGTAGTGGTCTTATTGTCATGACCTATTTTTTTAAATTAAATTTTTAAAGTATTTGATAATTGTAGATAAAATGCCATTTTAAGAAATAATACAAAGAGATCTAGTTAATGTACTCTTTACTCATTTCATCATTTAAGAAATAATACAAAGAAATCTAGTTAATGTATTCTTTACTCATTTCATCTAATGGTAATATCTTCAAAACTATAGTGCAATATCACAAGCAAGATAAATATGTTGGTATAAGATATAAAACATTAACAATACTGTAGGGTTCCTTCATGTTGCCCTTTTATAGCTACACCTACTTCCCTCCTGTTTTCACACCTTCCTATCTCTGCTAACCACCATTCTCTTCTCCATTTCCATATTTTTGTCCTTTTAAGAATGTTCTGTAAGTAGAATCATACAGCACGTAATCTTTGGGGATTGGCTTATTTTCCTGCAGCTCAATTCTCCAGAGCTTGAGCAAGTTTGCTGCATGTGTCAGTCCCTTCCTTTTTACTTGAATGGTGCCTCACAGTTTGCTTAGCCATTCACCTGCTTAACAACCTCTGGGCTATTTCCAGGTTTGGGCTATTATAAGCTCCTATAAACATTCATTTACAGGTTTTTACAGGTTTTTGTGTGAATGTAAGTTTTCATTTATCCTAGGGATTTCATTTATCCTAGGGATAAATGCCTAGGAATGACATTGCTGTGATGTACGGTAGTTACATATTCAGTGTTGTAAGAAACTGCCCACCATTCTTCAGAGTGGCTGCACCATATCCTAAAACCACCAATGTATGAGTTTCTCTGAAACTTCACCAGCATTTGGGGTCATCACTATTATTTAACATTATTTTATTTTAAAGTATACAATAGTTTTAGTGTATTTATAAAATTTTACAACCACCGTAACTATCTAATTCCAGGATACTTCAGCACCACCCCCAAAGA